TGATTTTTTTTTAAATGGAACACCCTGTATATTATTGCATTTTTGGCTTTCTTTCCGATCACTTAACATAACCCTAAGATATGAATAAATACATTTCGATAGTTTCAGAGATATTAAAAAATAAATCAAAAATATATATTTTTCTGCCCTTCTTAAAAAAAATATTAAAAATACAAGAACTGTTCTGAAATCAAAACTATATTAGATATTTACTTTAGATGGTCTGTACTTACTTTGCTATAAATATGAATATCGTAAATTATACAGGACGTTCAAAATTCTACGCCAAACTTTCTAAAATATAAAATAATTTTTCTTCGTTTTTTAAATGGAACACCCTGTATATTATTTTTTCAATAGACATTTTTTATATTTACAGCATTTCAAAATTTTTAACGGTTTCGCAGATATTTGCGGTTTTATATTTCATATGGCATTTTCCACAGTAAATTTTTATCAAAGCCACCCAATGATTTTTCTCTCGTATTTTACCATTGAAAGCGCCATATGAAATAATACTGCGTGTATCTGCAAAACCGTTAAGAATTTTGAAATACTCTAAATACAAAAAATGTGCATTTTTACACTCTCCATCTAATAAAAAAATAATATACAGGGTGTTCCATTTAAAAAAACAAAGAAAAAATATTTTATATTTTAGAAAGTTTGGCGTAGAATATTGAACATCCTGTAGGATTTACGATTACCATATTTATAGCAAAGTAAGAATAGACCATCTAAAGTAAATACCTAATATAGTTTTGATTTCAGAACAGTTCTTGTATTTTTAATAATTTTTTTTAAGAAGGGCTGAAAAATATATATTTTTGATTTATTTTTTAATATCTCTGATACTAATCGAAATATATTTATTTATATCTTAGGTGTATGTAAAGTGATCTGAAAGGAATCCAAAAATGCAATAATATACAGGGTGTTCCATTTAAAAAAATCATCCAGGTCCACTCACACTTTTTTGAGCCACCCTATAGAAGTTAAAATATTTTCCTGAAATACATCCTGGTACATACTTTAGGTTTTCACTAAAACAAAATTCTCAAGTATTTTATTCTATGAGCTACAGATGCCCGACGCACTATTGCCGGACCCTGTATATATTGTATTTATTAATTGTATATTATGTATATTTCATGTAAACTATACTCTGTTTTTTTTCTCAGGTAAGATTTCGACAGACGATGACAGAAGAAAAGCAGATGACGTCCCATACCAATCTATTTATTTTACTAAAAAAAGTTTCTAATAATTTTTAAGTTAACTATGGATGGGTTTAAATATAAATGCGTCATGCGTCGTCACTTGTTGTTTTTAACCAGTTTTATTGGTTTATATAAAAAATGACAGATTGTATTTCAATTTTATTGGTTTGACGGAACGATGAACTACAAACGGACGCCGATGCGTATGAACTCGCCTTTAGATTTTTGACGTTTGTCAAAGTCTTGCCAAATTATAGGTTATAATTTTGTGACAACTTTTGTCAAATACCCTGCGTTTTGGAAGATGATGCATTTTGATTCGTGTTATTACGTGTGTTTTGTGTCTTTTGAAGTCAAGTGGAGGAAAAATCGAGTGAAAATTAACTGTAGAACCCAGAGCACAGTTTATGGTTAATACTCGCTGCCCAGGCAGAAAGTCTTATACAGATACACCAATAAAGTTACTATCAATAAAGTTCGTATACCATCTCGTCGTAGATAAGTGCATCTCGAATATGGTAGAAGGACCATACTAAACACATACTAAAAACTGGAGTAGCTGTAAAATATCGACATTACACGATAGGTAAATAATGGATTTTAGTACTGCAGAAAAATAATGTCAAAAAGTACTAATTTAAAAAAAATTAAGATTAAAGTTAATTAATCAACCTGTGAGGTATAAAATTTGGTAAGTGTTATTATTAATAAAATAGTTTCTTTAATTTATGTTGTTTTATTTATTCCTGCGGAATATTACAAATTTGTATTTGTACATAAGTTATATTGATAAAATATAATCATAAATGCGGGAAGTTTCATAAAGCTTGAAAGTAAGAAATAGTTCTTTTTTATATTTTTTGGTATGTGGTGTCTTGTTTTTGTTTGTTTTGTATTAACACATACCGTTTTTTATTAAATAAAATAACTCGATTACATTTTTTCAGTTTTATGCAGTTTTATTCACAATATTTTGAAGTTACTTGTCAGTCAAATTTTAAATACATATATTAATTTCCTGCTATGCGTTCCAGTTCTACCAACTTATTTCTTTGTAAAATAAAATAAACTACTTTGAAATTAAAATGACAGACACATCTATCACTGTCAAGGATCTTCTCGTTGGACAGACTATATATAATTTTTAAAATACAAACCAGAAATACGAGAAATAATTATGTTTTCCATGTATTCTACAACATATTTATTAATCCGTAGTATCTAACTAGCGTGATGTCATAACTCTCGCTCCGAGACTGTTCTATTAGAGACGGTATTGGTCTGATATTTAGAAATATCAAAAGCTGCTGACACTTTACTTTTGATAATTATGACATTTCGTGTTGATTTTTGCAAGAAGAGGAAGAACTGACACTTGTTTTATTATTTTCCTTTTCTATTTCAGGAAAGTAAAAAGAGTTACCTATCTGATTCGTTCAGGCACTCAATTTAAAGAATATCAGTAACTTTTTGACAGAGGGATTTTATATTTGCCATGTTGGTAAAAAATAACGGTCAAAATTCAAAGTTATTCATTTTATAGACTATACTAACTATAAAGAGGTAACACTATTAATCATAATCTTAGAAAAAAACCTCTTACATTAACTTCTACTGTTTCATTTTGACGCACTATAAAATACTGTCTGTGCGCCAAAAGTATCATATTTTTCGATAACGATCATCACCCTTTCCGTAGCATTGAACTAAATAAATTTTGTGCTTCTTTGACGTTTTAAAACGAAAAATATTAAGTTAGCTAAAATTCTATGAATAACAATCTATCAAAGAATGGAAACGAAGTTATATTACCATAGAAACGCGTTTTGATCTATAGGACTTAGAAAAAAATCAACCATATTTTCGTATTTTCAATTTCATTTTTCTCAAAAGGTCAATAATAAAAATGTTTTTCCTCTTGTAAAGACAATCCGGGAACATACCATAGAAAATATAATAAATTATTTTTATGAGGAACATGTTTTTCCACATAAGTCTTATCTAAGAAGTTCATTTCAAGGTAAAAAAGGCCTAATTTTCTAAAAGAACTTTTAGAAAACTAAACCTAAATTTTTCCTTTAGAGAGGTAACTTTCATAGAAACTCGAACCGCCGTAAATTCGTTAAAAAATAAGCATAGTAAAGATATTTATAACATGACCATTCCACTAGTTAAAAAAAGTAATAAATTTATTAATATATCCTCTAACTAAATTATTCAATAGATGTATAAGAGACGGTACGTATCCCAATTGTTTAAAAATTTCCAAAATCGTACCAGTATTTAAAAAAGGTGATCCTGAAAGTGTGAATAATTATAGACCTATAGCTTTAATACCCACACTTTTTCAAAAAATTTTTGAATGTTTATTGAAACACCAGTTAACACATTACTTTGAATGTAATAACTTGTTCATAGAGAATCAGTTTGGGTTTCGTAAAGGAAAATCTACTACAATGGCTTGCATTCGTTTGATGGAAGATATAATTGAGGGTTTTGAGAGCGGTAACTATGTTGGTTCGGTCTTCTGTGACCTTACCAAGGCCTTTGATTGTGTGGAGCACAACATACTTTTACAGAAAATTTCATATTATGGAGTAAATAATATGAGTTCGAAATTATTGGCTGATTATCTTGTAAACCGATCTCAACAAACATTTGCCAACGGTACGCTCTCTGATGTGAGTGTTGTAAAATATGGGGTTCCGCAAGGCTCAGTATTAGGACCTTTATTGTTTTTAATTTACATTAATGATTTACCCGTGGCTACACTTCAGAATAATTTGATTTTGTTTGCCGATGACACTACTATCTTATGTGCCCGGAAACCCCCTGAAGAAATTCAAACTAATTTTGAATCGATTTTGCTAAATGTTGGTGACTGGTTGTGACAACCGATTATGCCTGAATAACACTAAAACAGAAAGAGTTATTTTTTCTCTTAAAACAAAATATAAAGTAGATTTCTGCAGTGTCCGATTTCTGGGAATAAAATTTGACACAAAACTGAGTTTTGAAAGTCAAGTAGACTATGTGGCAAGGAAGGTTTCCATAAGCATGTATGCATTTCGGCGATTGGCTAAGTGTGTGGAGAGTGATGTGTTAGTAGCTGCCTATCATGCTCTCATTCACTCGGTGCTTACTTATGGAATACTTGTTTGGAGTCACTCAGCTCATGCTGAGAGACTGTTTGGACTGCAAAGAAAAGCATTGAGAATTTTGTCAAATTTAAGTTATCAAGCAGATACAAAAAACGCCTACAGAAGACTGGGAATACTGACACTTCCATGTTGCTATATCCTCCAATGTCTTTTATTTGTGAAGGATAACCTAGAACTATATGCTACGCATGATGAACAACACAATTATGCAACCAGAAACAGAATGAATATAAAGTCTGTTCATTTGCGCCTCGGAAGATCTTGGAACTCCAGCCTTCATTATGCTCCTGCATGCTTTAATAAATTATCTCAAAATGTCAGAAATTTACCAAGACATCAATTTAAAACGACAATTAAAAGCTACCTTCTCGATATGGCTTATTTTAGTGTTACTGATTTTTTAGAAAGCAGTGAAGGGTTATAGCGTGGTTATAGGTCAAAACATTTACATTGTGCATTTATTGCTTTTTTGTGTACTTTAAATTACTGTTTGATAATTATTGTGCTTATTTTATAATTTTGCATTTTACAAAATATGACTTTGTGTAAGGATACTTGTATCTATTAACATGAAATAAATGATTTGATTTGATTTGAGAAAAATTTACAATGATTTTACCTGGATTAATTTTATCTCCATCAGTCTTTATTAATGCTTTGTGTAAGGCGTTGCTAAAGTGGTCTTTGTAAGCTTTAGACGCGCCCCCTAGAAACGTGTACATGTCTTTCTGGAGTCTTTCGGCTGTCGTACGGTAAATTATTATGTCGGATACGGCCAGAACTTTTAGCAACAGTCGAGTACGTTGGTTTTCTTTTTTCGTTATACCTGAAACAAATTAAATTTAGTTAGTGGTAAATTAATTATTTTTTCTCTTCATATATGTACTGGGTGGGTCAAATTCGACACTTTTAGAGGGAAACACCCGTTTCTATAGGAGATAGACGAAAACTAATATCGGTGTCTGGAGCTCAATTTTTATCAAAAACATGATTGTGAAAACCGCACATCAATATCTGTTACTGTTTTGGAGTTACGGGGTGTTTTTCAAAAATGTGCATTTTTAAAAAATCGCCGTAGCTTTTTTGCTATGAAAAATGTTGTATTTTTATGAATACATTTCCAAAGCACCTTTTTACGTAAAATTTAATGGTTTCAGTATAATTTTTTTTAAATAATAATTTAAGAGTTATCAACAGAAAAAAATGATTTTTTATTTGGGACACCCTGTATATTTTTAATTAAGTGAAAAGAACTTAAAATTGCCTTTCCAAAAATATAGCACACTTGATATCTTGTTATAGTCCCCTTCGAAATACAAAATTTTTAAAAGTTCGCCACTTTTAACTAGTAGGCTTTGGACCCCTTATTGATGATCTGACCCTAATGGAACTTGAAAACATATCTTTCCAAGACAAGGCACCGCCTCAGGACGCCGAAGTTGTCAGCAAATTTTTCAGCCAATTTCGAGAATAACTGAATAGCTCACTAAGATCCCAGCCGTTGGCCGTCGAGGCCGCCGGACTTAGTGCCTGTTATCCTTAGAGGATTTTTATCTTTGCGGAAGAATAAAGGTTCTTATTTTTAAATTGCGTGTATAATTTAGACAAGAATTAGAATTACTTGACGAGCCCTACTGAGTTAATGCGTTCCGCGAGAATTGTTCAAAAACGGCCCCGTCCGTCCATAACAGAAAACGTGTCAACCACACCTGTAGCAAAATAGCATGCCTTGGTTTCTATTAATTTTTATTATTATTAGATATAATTTAAATATGTTGATGTTTAATATAGTTTAAATTGTTATAAAATTCTGCATCTCTTATTGCAAATATTATTTTCGATTTAATTGCTGCTCACAGCTAGATTTTTTTTTACATTACAGCCGGCGCCGTTCAAAGCCTACTTGTTCAAAGTGGGCGAATTTCTAAAAAATCTATATCTCGAAGAGGAATCGAACAAGATATCAAGTATGCTATATTTTTGGAAAGGTAATTTTAAATTCTTTTCAATAAATTAAAACTATACAGGGTGTCCTATACAGGGTGCTACAAATTCCAGGTACGAGCATTGGTATCTCGGTAACCGTGATAGATACGAACACAGTTAAATTGGGGCAAAGTTGCCCTTTGGGATGTTCACCAAGATGCTATCAAAAAAGTTTTAAAAATTTCAAGGATTGTTGAGTTTTTTGGAAAAAACGGATTTTTTTGAAAATCAATTTTATTTTTTCCTGTCGTTACTTTTAAGAAAATCAAAAAACTAATTGCACATTCTCATAGCCACTTTATTCAGGCTATCTGATAGTATTTTTAGACTTTCAAATTAGCTAATAATTTGTGAGATACAGAGGGCAACTTAATTTTTTGAAATACGGACCTGCATTTTTTATTTCCGGTTTTGAAAGAACTCGGTCTCCTGAGTACAACGATATGCCACACTTTATACTTTTTTTGTTTTGGGTACCTTATCAACAACAAAACTATTTAATTATTATTTAAAATAATTTCAAGACCGACTCTGGTTTTTTAAATTATTTAATCTGATTATATGCACCGCAACAATATTGACCAGCGCTAATTAACATTGAATAAGAAAAATTTAAACAATTGGAAGATTCAAATAAATTATATCCAGGTCAGCAATTTAAAGATATTATTTTTAACTTATTTTATTGTGAATTTGAAATCTCAGTGTGCGACCTAATAATATGCATAATATTAATCGTAGTTATTATAAATAAATCAACTTCTATAAACTAGTTTCTAATGCTCTACATGTTCGAAAGGGTTACCACCCTCCCTATTGCACAAATTTACTTTTCGTTCAGTTTTATTTATAGCTCTTTGAATTTTCTTCTTATATTTCTGAATGCATTTTGAACTCTTTATTGTAAATGTTGAGATGTATTGATTTTACTTTTACAAATGACGTGAAGTAAATGTATTCATTTGTATATTATTTTTTATTATTTTATTGCATTTGATTTTCGATATTCAATGTTTTACCCCACATCATTGTTAATTTTGAAAGCTTATCAATATTGTAACGATGAATAGATTAAATATTTAAAAAAACAGAGCCGGACTTAAAGTTAGTTTAAATAAATTGTGTTGAAATGTTCGAAACAAAAGAAGAATTAAGTGTGGCATATCATTGTACTCAGGAAAGCGAGTTCTTTCAAAATTTAAAATAAAAAATGCAGGTCCGTATTAAAAAAAAATTGAGTTGGCCTCTGTATCTCACAAATTATCAGCTAATTTGAAAATATATAAATACTATCAGATAGACCTTATAAAGTGGCTATGAGACAAAAAACCCTGAAATTTTTAAAACTTTTTTGATGGTATCTTGGTGATCATCCCAAACCGCAACTTTGCCCCAATTTAACCATGTTCGTATCTATTACGGTTACCGAGATACCAATGCTCGTACCTCGAATTTGTAGCACCCTTATAAAAAATCAATAAGAAAATTACACTTAAACTATTCAATTCTATGTAAAAAGGTGCTTTGGAAATATTTTCACTAGTAATACCACTAGAAGTCAAATTATTTCCGGAAATGTTTTCGAGCTCATGAATATTCCGAGTCGAAGACGAGGGATAATTTTCTAAAAATATTCATGAGCGAGAAAAAATGTCCGGATTTAATTTGACCTCGTGTGGTATTCAGTAAGAAAATTCCACACCAAACTGTGTTTGAAAATCAAATAATTAAAATGTATTTTTCGATTTTTGGTCGAATTGATTATTTACATAGATAAATGAAACAAGTTTAGATTGGAAAGTGCCCATAAGGACAATGTAAACACTATTTGGCGCTATTCTTGCAACGGTCGCGACCCAAAACTTTTGAAAATTTCGGAGCGGTTCGGCTTGTTTCGGAATTATATCGCCAAATATTGTTTATTCAAATTTATTATTATTTTCGTTTAATTTTATAAATAAAAGACAGTGTGTTGCATACAAGAAACTTTATTTTATATAAGGACATGTATGAAATACCTATGAAACATTGGAAACCGACGTTATGCCACGATCCACGATGGTTTTTGCAGTTCACAGTTCACAGCACAGCTTTTTAAGTTTTTAATGCCACTTTTCCACAATTATCACCGGTTGGAGTAAATAAAACTTGAATTAAACTCACAAGATAGCAATTATTACTTTGAAAATGGACGCTATAAACACTTTTCGGAGTTTCTTTAATGAGAGCGGTTTGGATTTTGAAAGATTATTGTGATTTTTGAAGATTCTGACTTTGACAAGAGAAAATTATTTCTGTTTTTGTTTGCCGTTGTTCTTAGCGACCACTATAGCAGCGCCAGATCGCGTATAACGGTCGCGACCCAAAATAATTTCGCGACCCAAAATTTTTACGGGCTTTCCAATCTAAACTTGTTGCATTTATCTATGCGGGGTATACCGAGAGCGGTTTAGATTTTGAAAGATTATTATGATTTTTGAAGATTCTGACTTTGACAAGAGAAAATTATTTCTGTTTTTGTTTGCCGTTGTTCTTAGCGACCGCTATAGCAGCGCCAGATCGCGTATAACGGTCGCGACCCAAAATAATTTCGCGACCTAAAATTTTTACGGGCTTTCCAATCTAAACTTGTTGCATTTATCTATGATTATTTAGTTACTATGAAAACTAAGCTTTGAATAAGAAAACTAAGGAAGGAGCATAATGCTATCCATGTATTCATGCATGGTGGGCGGAAAAAGCACCATAAAAGCACAAAGAATTTCAATGCATTTCCTACATAAGTCTATCCTTGTGTTGTAGGAGGTTTGACAAGGATGAACCTGTCTTGAAACCTTTGAATAAGAAGACTAAGGAAGGAGCATAATGCTATCCATGTATTCATGCATGGTGGGCGGAAAAAGGACTCTAGGGTGGGGATCCTTGACAGTTCTGTTTGACGATTCTTTTGACACATTTGAATTTGATTTGAAATTTTGTGGATTTGTCAGTCTTTACGGAGCTTATTTTATGTTATTTATTATTTATTCTACTACTGATAGTTGTATAAAGATAGTAAATCTAGATGGAAATTGTGGCAGAACTTAAATTAACAGTGACACTATTGCGATTTGTCGAAAAAGACTGTAAAATAGTTGGTTGTGTAGCGTGCGTTAGATCTCGGCAAAAATCGAGTGGAAAAATGGAACAATTTTTCGCTAGTAAGTGACTATATAATATACATACGTGTAGTAAACCGATCATTTACGAAATTCATTTAAATTAACTAATTATATATTGTTCTTGCATTTTTGCTTTTATTTCCTACTCGTCAAAAATTAGATGTCAAAGAATTTAGATACGTCAATTTGACTTACCTGCTTCAGTAGCGTATCGGATGTTTGTGGTTATAAATAATTTTATTAGAATTTTATATTTTTATAACAATTTTAATAACTACCAACATTTATTCCCAACGTAAAATAAAAATAAAATTATTGAGTCTACCCCACGTCTACCCTACATCATAGTTTTACATTTTTTTAATAAAATTAGAACGGCACTGATAAACCGGAATTTAAGTCGGCCATATTTGACGCCCATCGCGGTGGACCTAAGATTTTTGATATGCTCCTTCCTTAGTCTTCTTATTCAAAGCTTGAAACCATTCGACTCGATTTCCTGTCCTCCTTCAATACTGGGACGTAAATTCTCATTGCTCTTATGGGGAGGCCGTCGTATATTTTATTTAAACGTATTTGCATTACACAGTCTATAACCCATCATACCTCTGTTGTAGAGGGGACAGGGTATTTCCCATCCTCATCTGACAACAGATGTTCTTCCTCCGAGGGTACACAC